TGGTACTTAACAAAAACATATATATACATATGTGTGTGTAGTATATATATGTATATATCACTATAATATAGATATGTTAATACTTATATGAAATTGTAAAATGCTCAACATTCAAGAGATGTCATTAAACACTGTGTTAAGTAAAATAAATCAATCTCAAAATATTGTAGGAACTCACATATATGGAATAACAAGAATAGGCAAATGCCTAGGGCAAAAGTTCATGCATTTACCAGGGGTGGGCAGAATAGGAAAAGGGGAGACATTCTTTAGGAAACAGTGAGTTTCTGTTTATAGTAAAGAAAAAATTAATAGCTATGGGCTATAGTTGTATTGACTAGGGGTTGTGCAAACAGTCAGGTGCTCAACTACTAGCTGACAGCCACACTGCCCAGAAGGCACCTCAGAAGACATTCCTGGTGATCTGTTTTTGAAAGATCAAAGCTATAAAAGCCTTACAGGAGAGTTCTACTTTGCTAATGTAAGTTGCCATGATTCAGAATTGACTTGATGCCAACTAACTATAGCTATACAGGGGATAGTTGCAAAAATAAGATTGATGTAATTAATATCATTATATTTTGTACCTAAAAATGTTTAATTGTCAAAGGTTGTATTATATTATATGCACTTATAATTTAAAAATAGGAAAAAAGGGATATCTCATCTTTCCTGGGTCTCCTCTTTAACTTACTCCATCCTGCCTTCTGATACAGGTCTTGTGTAAAAACCACATGGACTTGCATGTTTGTCTGTTCCCATGCCCTACATGCTATCATTTCTCCCACATTGTGCCTTAGTACTTGTCATTTGTGGATAACCTCTGAAGGTATCAATTATCACCTCCTCCAAGTCCTGACTCAGCAATCTGCTATGGCTCAGGGACATTTATAAATTACAGTTATCATAATCTTCATACTAGTTTGTGAAGTGCCTGTTGTGTCAGACACTATTCTAAACACTGAACTCATTCAATTCCCACAATTAGTGGTCAGTAAAAGGTAAGCCATAGTGACATTACAGGATAAGCACTAGACTGATCTACATAAGTTTGGCAGTTCAAACCCACCAGCTGCTCCACAGGAGGAAAATGAGACTTTCTGCTCCAATAAAGAATTACAGCTTCAGAAACCCTATACAGGGTTGCTATGAGTCAGAATTAACTCAGTGGCAATAGCTTTTGTGGGGTTTTTTTGCTTTGCTTTATTTTATTTTTCTTGTATCAGATAAGTTGTTACCTCATACAAGATAATTAAACTATTTTCTTGTATGAGGTAATAGCTTAAACTATTTTAGTCAAATTTTAATTAAAAGTTGAACTATTTTTAATCTCCATTTTATGGATGAGAATGCTGGACGATAGAGAGGTTACATGGTTTTCCCATGGTCACAGATGTAGCATTTGTAGCTTGGTTATCTAACTACACTCTCAGACACTGCACTATGCTTATTCAAATCATTATTACGCATCTGTCATGTACCAGGCAATGGACTGAATCCTGGGATTGCAGTACTACATCAAAACGGATACAGGTGACCCTGCATGGAATTTAAAATCTAGTAGGGGAGTGAGGTTTTAATCCATAATCACATAGACAAGTGTAAAATTGAAAATCTATAGTAAGTATCATAAAGGAAAGACACAAGATAATACAGTTTCCTTAATACAAAAAATAATAATAACAATAAGCCTACTTAGGATGTTTAAAGCAAGTTTCCCTGAGGAAATGAGGCTTGCGCTGAGCTCTGAAAGATGAACAGTGTGAAAGTAGATAAATGAATGTTTCAAACCAAGTATTGTAGGTGCAAAGGATCTTTGTGTAGTAAGATCGCACAGCATGATTATGAGAAAGTGACAGCTGATCGGTGTTAAATAAAAAGCATTTTACCAGATATGGTAGGGAAAATCACATAGA